GACTGTGGCCCATGTAGCCTCCCCCACATCGATCTTTTTAGATCTATTGTGGATATCCTTTAATCGTTGTTTAGAGTACCTTGTCTAATTCAGTCCTTTGTAGTAGACTCCAAAGACTGGGAATTAGTTCTCCGGTATAGCTAGTTGCCCTTGGTTTTTCTTCTTCAAGTGTAAGGAATCTCAGTCTTCCTAGACCTTCGCAGTAGCACAATACGTGTTCTGCTGTTTCCTTCTCTTCATGGCAGAGTCGGCACAAGGTCTCTTTTGTCAGATCGATATTATACAAATGTTTGTTAAGTCTAAAATGCCCTGTTAATAGACTTACTAGTACTCTAGTATTGTTCCTATTAAGGATTGGTAGATGCTCGGTGAGTTTAGGCGATGGTCCTTTTAAGAACCCTTTGGCCTGTCTCTGTCCTGGTGAGTTTTTCCAGTTTTTCCACCACTCCTGAGATTTTTTATACTTTTACTGCTTTGTGTATGTTCTGATGGTTGTTTTTTTCTGTTACACCACAGAAGGGTTCTGGGCCAATAAGAGCATTTGTGGCTCCTTCTCCGGCTAGTAAATCAGCCTCTTCATTAGTGGCCTGGTACCCAGGCTAAGGTTAACATGTTTTGACTACCCAGCTCTGTTAGGGCTTCCAAACAGTCCCACACAAGCTTTGAGTGTACCTGCATGAAGCTGAAAGCTTTTAACGTCGCTTGACTGTCTGAGTATATGACAATGGTTTTTCCATTTACCTTCTGTCTTAATACCTCTTTTGCGCAGTGATGCATTGCTGCTATTTCTGCCTGGAATAATGTCGCATGTTTACCTATGCTCAGTCTTTGGCTTGGTACTATATGTACCTACTCCTGAACCTTAATGGGTTTTGGAGCCGTCTATGCATGAATAAGAGGTCCTCCCGTCCATGCTTCCCTGTCTGGTATACTTACTTTATATTGTTTTTGAAAGCTAGTAGGTTACCTACCCCGGTAGTAACTCATTCCCTTATGTAAATTACCGTGTTAAATTTCTAAGCTTTTTCAAAATGGCGGACACCGTTCTGGACCAGGGCTTAAGATAATGGTAGGTAGATGGCGCAACATGATGGCTTTCTATTGATTCAGATAATGGCAGGTAGATGGCGCAACATGATATATTGGGAGAATCAAACGTAACTAGGATTCAAGAAGAGTTTAGATGATGGTCATGTATACACACAGCTAGAGGTCGCCATTTTGAAAAAGCTTAGAAATTTAACACGGTAATTTACATAAGGGAATGAGTTACTACCGGGGTAGGTAACCTACTAAAGCTATACTTTGGGAGCATTTCATCTGAAGGCATTCCCATTATTTGGTCGTTCTCCAATTCTTTATATAGCTCGCTGTAGTCGCATCCATGCAAAATGCTTATGAGTGATGAATCGTTGTGCAGTCTGTATGTTACAGACCTGGCTTTGCCTTGAATGAATATATGTAGTGGTGTTAGGTTTATCATAACTTCTATAGCTGCTGTTGGAGTCGTTCTCATAGCTCCCGTGGTATTCAGGCATGCTTGCCTTTGAATACCATTGAGATGTCGAATGGCTCCAGTTTGCCGAGTCTTTGGCCACTATACCACCTACCCGTAGGTTATCATTGGCCTTATGACTCTGGTATATAACCATAGGGAAATTTTCGGTTGTAGTCCCCAATTTTTTCCACACAACCTTCGACATAAGTTGAAGGATGTTGTGCATTTTTGGGTGACTTTTTGCAAGTGTTGATTCCATGTGGTCAAAGATAACTCCCAAGTATTTGGCCTCTTGAGCAAATGGACTCTTTACTCCTTTCAGTACTGGTGACTTTAGTCCTGTTAGTACTTTTCGTTTTATAAAGTTAAATATTGTGATTTTGTGAGGGTTTACTGTTAGTTCCTCCTCTCTGCATCACTCGTTAACAATGTTTAGAGCGGTTTGTGTGCGCTCCGATATTGTACCTGCGAACTTGCCTCTTACGATGATCGCCAGGTCATCGGCATACCCTAGGCCAGTGGTCGGCAAATTTATTAGTCAACAGAGCCAAATAGCAACAGTAGAAAAACTGAAATTTTTTTCGGAAGCCAATTTTTTTAAATTGTAGGTACATTGTTTTTAACAGGGTACTGCTAAGCTAGCCTTTGCTAAAAACGTCCTTAATCTGATTGAAGTACGTTCGCTGAGGTCGACCCTTTCCAACTTTCTCATCCACACTTGTCTTGTAAACTTGTTTCGTCTATCTCCTGTCATTAATCCTCTTTACACGGATTAGGAAAAAATTATACGAGCCAAAGGCTATAGGCACTGTGAGTGAACATTAATCTGTTTATTTTTTGTATAACTACTACCACCTTTCCTGTGATCTGTGGACGTGCGAGCTCATAGAAAATTCCGATAGTAATGCATGAACTATTGTAGAGTATCGTTCTCTCTAATTAGATAAATACAATATTTGCGTAATTCTCCGATTCTAGAATTGGGAAATGTAAGTGAAAAATAATAACTTGATTTTAAATTATATCTTCATATTTTTGACCATTAAGGTTACCATCAATGAAAAAGTGCCAATAATGCGGTCCCTCAAAATACCAGTGCAAACATTTAATTTCTAAAGGCGGGTACAGATTTGAGCACGTACGCATATGAGGCAAGCCGAGGACGTATGAGCATGCAGTTGTGGACGGGCTTCCGAGGCGCGGCAAATTGCCTCTTTGTATGCGCAGTATGGCCTCGCTCCGATCCGTTTGTTGGCGGTACATCAAAGGGAGGCAGTGCGCAATACGTGCTCAGCCTGGATAGGGAATTTGTACCATGCAGCACCTTACAGATTATACAGAGTTTTAATGTGATGGATAAAATAATAAAATATGCACTCAACTCCGCGACATCATCCTCATCCTTCATTTTTGTTTTAATTTTACGAATGTTCCTGGTATACGGCTGCGTGTTCGTGAATTTACTGGATCAGTGGCGAACAGTGCCTCGTGCGTCCACCATTCGTGAATACAAAATGCGTCGCACGAGGCATTCGGTTCGGCCTCGGCTTGCCTCATACGCGAACGTGCTTAGATCTGTACCCGCCTTAAGGATACTGTGTGCATGTCGGAATACTTAAATATTTATTTTTTAGATCACAATGTCTGGAATGTTGATTATGCAATGAAAAAGTTAACTTTTCGGCAAATAAAATGTATTTTAAAAAGTTTTTATTTTGTCTCTGCCGATTCGTCATTATTTCGCAAAACTCTACAAAAATAAAAAACAAGTAACTGTATGTTAATCTCGATGTTTATTGAACATGTTCACGGATTTGATTACGATGCACTCCAACGTTTAACGAATAACTGCCTGCAATTAATACACATTTTTTTCAAACCTGTATATCCAAACCATCTCAACATACATTTCTCAATATTTGAAACTACAACTTCTTTCACTCCACAACACTTAAAATTAACTTAATACATTTTTAAGTCTTAGTTAAATTACACTTAATATCGATATTATTTATTAATAAAATTTTAATTTCATCATATTTAAAAGTATTGTTTTGAAACAGAAAATATCAATATAACAATCTCAACAGGCTTGGAAAGTAATTAAAAATGGAACCTGGGGGAAAGCAAAGCATTTCGGGCTGAGGCAGATGAAAGTAATAACTGCAGGAATGCAGATTTTTACTAAAATTCTAGACTTTCCTGCAGGGATATGCTCAGTAATTTATTGTACGATACACGTTGATATTTTAGCTTTCTGAAAATGTTTTTTCAAAGTCATTTCAAAGTACTCTCCTAAAGATAAGCACCAACTATATTTGAAAAAACTAAAAATAAGAAAAGCAGCCATCACGAAGTTTCAATCGTACTCTATGTGCGAGCCCACATGTAGTTTTTGGAAGAGCCACACCCAAAGGGCCAAAGCGCCACATGCGGCTCGCGAGACGCGTTTTGCCGACCCCTGCCCTAGCAGTGGCGTACTCAGATGGGGGGGGGGGGCAAAGGGGGCAAAGGGGGCAATTTCCCCCCCCCCCCCCCCCAGAAAATCCAGGAAAAATTATATTTTATTTTGTCATGAAAAAATACATTAATTTATTAATAATATAATTAAAGTATTTGTAGTAATTTTAGTAGGTAATATATTGATGTTTTGTTTTTCAAGAATTATTTGTTTTTGTTACTTTAGAATAATTTATTTTTTTGTTTGAGCCTTTGTGCTTGTTTCACTATATGTTTTTTGTTTTGTTTGTGTAGTTTTTAAATTAATAAAAGAAATATGTTTCGTTAAGCTCTGGACCGGAGCGAGCGGAGGGGAGAATTTCGGAAAAAAAGGCGTCTTTTTTTGACGATCTTAACGACTTTCGGCAAGAAAGTGACGAAGGCATGATTTTTTAACGATTTTAATGACCTGAGTACAAATTGGGCATGGCAAACCCAAAATTTTCTGCCTTCGGCGGTTAGCCTCCGGCGGCCCCTGCGCGGGGGTTGTATTTGACCTTTACCATATTGCCCCCCCCCCCCCCCCAGCAATGAATCAGGGTACGCCATTGTGCCCTAGGCAGTAGAAATCTGCAGATATTAGCCATTTTATGAGTTCATTCACTAGGACTGTAGAGGGCGTCAAACTTTCAAAACTCGTTTGTTTCCCTAAAAATATTTTTATGGTTAAATGTATAAATAAATACCTTATCGATTCGGAATTCTGAATTATTTTTATGTGACGTGAAGCCTGAACAGGCGCTGACCCCTATTACTATATTTCAAATTAACTAATATTCGTATATATATTATCCTGAAACAATAATTGAATGAATGAAAAGTGACAATATTTAAGACGCTAAGTACATTTTAGGGCCAAGGAAAATTAACATATAACGGTACTTTGGATTTAAAATTTTTTACGATCAATAAATTGAATTTTTTATGACTTAACTTTTACGTTTTCTTCAGACAGTTAATTTTTATTATGACGGAAGTTTTACATTTTTGTACTTGTACTCACCAAGTATGAAAATAACCGGCACTTTTGGTGATTCGAAATGTATATTAGATCCGTTATGCATGGGAAATTTTCCTGCTGGAGGTGTGGTAACGTTTGCAGTTGCTCTGGGCGAATTATTAGCCCAAGTTTCTCGTCCTTCTTCAAATGTTTGGGAACCATCACTTTGTTCTAAAACAAAAATTCAAGTTAGTTGCTGAATATTGGATAATTAATATAAAATAGGGCATGACTCGTATATGGCTTATTTTAGAAATATTCTTTTGTGGATCACTTTTTATATATACCGTTTTAAATAACATGTAAGCCTTAGGTAAGTATGTAATTGTCCCCATGGCATCTTTATTAATATTATACCTCCATAATATTGCTAGAGGACGGTGAACACATTTGAGGTTAGCATTAATAACGTAGATGTGACTTACTGGAGCCGTATTCTGCAACTATGGTAAAATGAGCGTGAGTACTCTCTCACGATTTGTAAGCAATTTTTTTTCAGAAACGTAAAATGACAGCAGAAAACGTATCATCTGAAAATAGAAACGTGATAAGACCAATTTTATAAGATATTCTGATGACACAACTGTTCTTATTTCCAATAGATCTGAAGTAAAACGGAAGAAATTGTTTGTCAATTATGAATGATTTATTTTCATGGTGCAATAATAATTTTCTTTTCTTTAATGGCGATATGATAAATGTAATTTGACTCCATAACTATCTAAAACATGGTGCTACATAACTAGAAATAGAGAAGAGTTAAAAAGGAAAAAAAAAAGAAAGAGGAAATAGACACACAGCTTAAGCATATAAGCATGTCTGTGAGATATTTGATATTTCTTTTGCATCTATTCAATGATCTTGATATTTTACAGAGGTTTTAATTTTTTAACTTCTACTTTAACTAATAACTTCTATTTACCAACTATAGAAATTAGTATACAAATTTTTCCACTGCATCAGATAATAAATTTTAACGACCGAATGACAAACTTACCCTTGACACTGAAATAACGACAGTCTGTAATAAAAATATAATGAAGCGAATGGTCAGTTTCCTATTATATCCGTTTAGTCGCGAGCTGCTTCGACCATGATAATGGACGTTGAAAAAATCGATGCAAAGTACATGTGAACATCAATGAAACTAATGGTTTTTACATGTACAACATATTGATCGTACCGATCATAGTGTTTACAAAGTTTATAAATTAGAATATTATTTGTTTATTGTTGTCGAATTCAGTGCAGGATTTGTATCCTGCCGAAATGCTAATGTAGTCATAAAAATGGTATAAAAACTCCAATTTACTGGCTATATAAAGAATTATCAGTCTGGCTACCTGGCAAGGACGGATCATTCTTTAATTTTAGTATTTTTTATTTAAAACCAATATACTGAACAAAGACAGTACAAGTCGCCTATGCTTGAATATTATATGGTTTGAAAATAGTTGTGTTTTTTATTATTTTAATCAATTCTATAGTATGTAGTTAGGCTAAAATTTAATCGTACTGGTTATTCCCGATCCATTGCGGGACTCCGTTATTTAGAGTACATCTTCTAGAGTGGTCTTTTTTATTAGACTTAGTAACTTTGACAGAGGCTCCTGCATGTAGTCTGCATGTAGTTATATGTTTACACCGTTTCTTGATCTAGTGTTAGAAACCATATTTATCTAGTAAGGTCTTCACACTGGTATAGGACGTGGATTGAGTTTCCTCTTCTTCACAGAAGCTGCACAATGTTGCTTTTTCTACTGAATTGAATACACTTATGTGCCTTCTCAGGCGACAGTGACCTACTGTTCCTCTATTTGTCATTTTTAATCCAGTAGGTATTTCGTGTAGGGTAAAGTCACCTATCATGACACCCCTAAGAACGTTCGTAAATCAAACGATGTTCCGACTAGTTTGGAGACTCTAGATAATGGCTCATAATAGTATTACATGCAGCAAAAGTATCCAACTAACCCGAATCTAGCAAATTCCTGTGCTTTTCATAACCTGATTTTTTTAAAAAATCATTGGGTGTGCCATCATAGGTGTACAGTACTCCTAGGATGGCACACTATCGAAATATATTTAAAAAGTGCTTTTTTTACAAATAAACAGTATTTTATTAAGGAAAAGTACTTCTTTAAACATTACTAGAAACATTAACAAATAAAAACGTACTAAAAGTAGGTAAACATATTGTTATGTACACACATCACAAATGAACTGTTTGGTTTTTCTACTGACGTTTGCGCATTGTGCATGGCACTAACCAGAACAGTTCTAACATTTAATCCAAAATTCCCTAGATCGAGACCTTGAGCACAGTTCGTTACAATAAAGGCAGGCTACGTCGGAATCATCATCATCAATTTCAATGTCTGCTTCATCTTCGTTCATGAATTCAATATTTGTTTAGCTCTTCTTGCCAATGCATTTGTTTCCTTGTTGAGGATCTCCATTTTTTCTCTTTGAGCTCGTCAGTATCTGGTGTTGACTTCATTAACCCTGTTTTACTTTGTTTCCGTTTCTTTTGTGTGTTCTGCGATGTTTGATGTGAAGCTTTCGATAGTGGAGACAGTTCCTCAATGAACTTTTGAAAACTGCACGAAGGTTCACCCAAATTTTCTCTTGATTTCCAAACGTTTGCTTGAGCTTGATTTTTCGTGCTGTTTTCTTTAATACCATTCATTTTCTCCCCGTTGATCCCTGTTATATTTATACCTTTATTCCCTTTAGTACTATTTTCTTCTTCCCCTTCAATGTTTATTTTTTCTATCCTTTGATGAGCTTCATGATCCATGTTCATATCATCTTCAGCTATGACTAAGGATGGTGCCGAATGTCATTCCTCAAACATATCTGGGTTAAAAGGTACAATCCCTGTCTTTTGAAACGCATTAATAGCAGTTAATGGAATTGCAGCTTTTAAGTATGCATTCTTGAATAAACAAGCAACTTGGAAATGGGTAATTGTTCTGTCAAGGTGTTTTGAATTTCTTGGTTGTAGTATGTTTGAAGAGGAGCAAATAACCCAACATCAAGCGGTTGCAAACGATTGGTGCAATGTCCAGGGAAACAAAATATAATGATTCCATTATCTTTAGCATACTCCAATACGTCAAGCCCCTTGTGACTGCTATGCCCATCTAGCAGTAGTAACACTTTATTATCTTTAGATGGTTTGACATGGTGAATGAAATGAGAGAACCATCTAAGAAATATTTTACTTGTCATCCAACCCTTTTCTTGACAATAGACAACGCTACTACTTTTTTCTTGGGAAAATAAAAGCAGGTGTTACAAATGGTCCAAAAGCATTGAAACAATAAACCGCTGTATAGTGAAGGCCCCGTTCTGCACTGCTTATTGTACTTACCTGCTTTCGTCTCTTAGTAGCCAAAATTTTTTGGTTTTTGGTTGGAACCGTGCTCATTCTGGTTTCATCAACGTTAAAAATATTTTGCGGTTCGAAATTGTGTTTATCCAATAATTCAGGCAATGCTTTGAAATATGTTTTAACGTTTTTCTTACTAAAAGCTTGAGCCCTAGCCTTGGAAGTATTTTTTGGAGTTCTAATTGATATTGTGGGATTTCGGCGAGAAAACCTCTAAACCATTTTTTTCCTGCCGTACCTTTTTTAATATTGAAACGATGTGGCAAGTTATGTTTCTCAGCCAACTCGAAAACTAATCTTCGAAATTCATTACTGGTCACGCCAAAAAATCGCGTTACTAATTCTAAAACATGGAAGGCTAGTTCGGCTTCTAAGTCAGGACCAAATGTAACTTTGAATCCCCCTAAATATCCCTTTGTGCTGCCTTTGTTTTTTGTTACTCTTCTCCTTAGGCTTGTTTTAGGAACTTTGTAAGTGTTTGAAACCATCATCCAACCCATTCGTCCACCTTCTATCTCAGAAATAGCCAAAGCCATATCCTCTTCCCTTCACTCTTGTCTACGAGTTCTATTCTGAAATTATGAAAGAAACAGTTTTACTCAGCTATTTAAGTCTTTATAGAAAATGAAAGCCTATGATGGCATATTGTTCCATCACAAGAACAGATTTAGTGTGCCATCACAGGCAAAATTATAACCTCATAAATTTGTGTAATAAAAATTGACAGGATGAAACAGTATCAGAAAAAAAAGTCAATATATCGTATACACACTTTTGATTATAATTATGAAAATATACCAAATATCTACAGCGCTCTCCAAAGCAACTAGATGAATTTAAATTTTTTAATTAATTACATCGCTACTCACCTCACACATGTTTTAACCACAATTTTAATAATAAACGTTGAACACCTTTCGCCATTCATTACAACACTGACAAACATATTCTTAACATGTTTGCCTTATTGAAAGATAGGCAATACAAGATACACTATAAAATCTGGATAGTATACCGTCTCAGGAACTGTGTCATCATATATATGTGCCTTTACCCTACTTAATTCACGGTTCTTCAATTAACTCTTTGGCGTATCTTAATTTTGGATAGCTATTTCACTATTCCTGAGACTTTTTTGCATCCATTGTTTGATAAATGCCTTAGCATCTCCACAGAAGGGCTCGGAGCCTGTTATGGTCCTATTAAAGCCTTCGTCGGTCTTTTCATTGCCCTCATATTCCTCGTGGCCTGAGGCTAGGATCACCTTGTTTTGAGTACTTAGCTCTACCATGTCTTTTAGGCAGTCCTTCACTAGTCTTGATTTGTCTTTACAATTATTTATCTTGTACAGTGTTGCTTTGCTAAAATTTACTTTTTACAACAACTATTATACTTTTTGTTACTAGCTTTATTCGCAATAATAATTCATTACTGGTTCTTTTACTATTTCACATGCCCACTAATTTAAAATGCGTATTAAACTACTGCAAACGTGAAATCGAAATGAATTGCAGAATTTTTCGATGTTAACCTCGTATATTGAATTTAGTTTATCATTTTAATGAAATAGCTTGGGAGATTTTTATTATAGATATGAAAGAACTGATGACCATCAAGCAGTTAGTAAACATTTTTCTTTCTCTACACCTTCAGAAACTTTGTTTATTTTCATTGGAAAAACTGCTCGTTTCAATAACAATAGTTCGCATCAAAATGTAGAATAACATTGGTATTTTGACACGTGGAAACATAAAACATAAAAAACAAACTGTAAAGC